AGATTCCTTAATTTTTTTCAAGAATACCATATTTCAAAAATTTTAATGAATCAATTTTGATGAGCTCAAATTGATGTGAAATATTCTTGACTTCTTAGACAAATTTGAGAAGAGATTTCATTTGCAAGAGAATTATTATCTTTATCCCCTTATTTTAAAAGTGGAAAAATTTTATTGGGCTCATGGAGAGCTTCTGTGGAGAATGCACAAGGCTTAAAGTCAATTGGGAGACAAGGCTCTAATTTTTATAAGAAAGATGCCTCAGAAGTACCAGATCAATTTAAAGAGTATTTCATGAAACCATAGGGTGAAGCTCCATGGCAGCAAAATCATATATCTTTAATGGGAACCTTGAATGACTATGATTTACTCTTTCGACATTCTTTTCCTCTTTGCATGGGTATTCTTCATTCTTACAAGTTTAACTATTGCTAATGTAAACTCAGTTTTTTTCTCTAAAGCAAATGACATTTTAAGTAAATTTTATAAAATTAGATGTAGTTTATGTTAATATAGTTTGGAAAAAACCCTGTCTTGTTTCTTAAAACCAAAGCTGAAAGCAAATATATAGAATATAACATGTGCAAACAGTAAAACAGCTCTCCTTTACAATTACATAATCATTTACAAAGAAATTCAACTCTATAACAATGTTTTAAGGCAGTTTATGATATAGTTGATTTATTCTTTGTCTTTTTGGTTAAGGATTTGTGAAAAATTTGTCAAACTGGATTTCCACCTCAAACAAAACTTGTGCTATCTTCATTTTGGCTAATGATTTGATAATTATCAAACTTGCTTAATGTGACTCCAACATATGTACCATATGCCATACAATAATCCTCTACTGAATTGCCTTGGTTTCTATAGCCATTGCCATTGTTTTCATCTGCTTTCAAAATTTTTAATATTTCTAGGTCAATTTTTCGATCCACAGAAGTTTTTCTTTTTATGGGGGAGTGCTTTAATTTTTTTCTTCCAACTGGACTTAACTCCAACCCTCTCTTGTTTTTCTCTGTAGTTAGACTTGATGTTAGTGCTCCAATGCTGTGTTGCTCAATTTCATTTGAATCACTCGTAACAATATCTTCCTCATTAATTTCATGAAGTTTTTCACTGCTTTGGTTGCAACTGATGTTGCTTGAAGTGGCTCTGTGCAATATGGTTTCCCTGATGAAATCCATGCTTCTAAACCACTTCCATCTTATTTCTTTTCCTGTTCCAAAACCTGAAGGTAAATTCTGATTTCTTACATTTTCTGAAAAAGTATCTCTTAATCCTTTCCATTTCGCTTGACATGATGAAACTTTGAAGACAAAATAGAAAAATAATTAAAAATTATACTCTCTAGCAATTCTATAGCATTTTTCAGTGTTTTCGGACTGACCTGGTTGTTCAACTTCATTGCCATGCATTTTCTTTTTGTGCTTTGTCTCTGTATCCACGGCTTTTTACCATGTACAAAACGTGAAATTTTCTTACTGTTTCGATTAAAAGTTCGATCTTTTTATCGCTGCATCTTTCGTTTCGTTCTTGTCTATCTGACATTTTGTAGTTTGTTTTTTGAAAAAAAAATGGGGAAATTAACATAATGCTTAAAAACAATGCGACGTGATCAGTAGCCTTTCTTTCATTGGTGAATTTTTATTTGAAATAGCTGCGAGAAAAAAATAGTTGAAAAATGTGAACTATGTGCGAGGTCATAAAATACTAGTTGCGAGTTTAGAGTTCGCAGCGAGCTGCGAGTTGATTCGTGCGATTTTGGAAATCAATCTTTACAGAGGTTAAAAACATTTCAGTGTCAAGAACACTGTTATCAAAATGTGACCTCTACTTACATGAATATAAACAATAAAATATATAAAAAGATTATTAAAGTACATACATATCAAAGTAAATATAGATAATAAGAGAATGAAAAAATAAAAAGAATATGAAAGTTATCATTTATAAAATTCATTTAATAGATTGAGAAATTTATTATAGTTTTTCTCATTCCTTATTTCAGAGGGCCATATTGTTATAAAGTTTTGCTCCTTGAAAGTAAAAAGATTGTCTTAGGAAAATCTAATTTGACTTTTGGAATTCTTATAAGAGATCCCATGTTTCTTGTATGACAATTTTTGTTATTTATTTGAAAGTAATCATGAAAATTGGCACGTTTTTTTGTCCAAGCATTGCCTCACTGTTTTACAAGCTCGTTTTTGTATGCTCTTTAAAGTAGAGGGTACCAACTTTCCTGAAACTTGAATCATATTTTGTAATCTCCTGTCAATTGAATCCACTCTGCTTAACTGGGTACCTGTTAGTTGCAGTTTAAGCATTCCAGCATAATTCATGACAGGTTGAATCGTTGTTTTGTATATCTTTAGAGCTGTGTCTGCGTTCATAAAATGCCGTAGTTTAGATAGGACCTTAAGTCGGTTGCAGGACTTCTTCTATGCTTTATCAAAATTTTCTTGCATTGTTAGGTTTTTGTTAGTATGTAGCCCAGGTACGTATATGTTTCAGTGCTGTTGCAGTTTCAGTTTCAGTTCTTGATCGTTTCAGCTCTTGCTGATACGATCAGGAAAGTCGTTATAAAAGATGATAAAAAGAAGTGGACCCAATATAGACCCTGAGGAACACCATTGTAAACTGGTTGAATATTTGATTGTCTTGTGCCTAAGTGAACAACTTGTTGCCTTTCATATAAATCAGTAAACAGTTCTAATTCATTTTCCACTATTCCATATCCTGTCAGTTAACTCAGTTAAGAGCTATGACTTATTGTATCGATTGCTTTACTTAGATCAATGAACACAGCGCCAACCAAATTTCCATGGTAAACCTCTCTTCTGATATTGTCAACAAATATAAATTGCAGCCACATTAGTTGATCTATTTGATCTAAACCCAAATTGATAATCTTTCAATAATCTATTCTCTTCTAGGTATTTCATTGACTTCTGATGTATAGCCCTCTCAAGTACTTTTGATAGTACAGGTAGAATAGAAATTGGTCTGTAATTCATTGGGTTGTCCTTAGAACCTTTTTTATGGATTGGAACAACTTTCGCAGTTTTCCAAACTCTAGGTATTTTGTTTGTCTGTATGGCCAAGATTATTATATATGCCAGTGGTTGACAAATATGCTCACAAGAATCCCTCAACAATCCAGGAGGTAAATCATCAACACCACATACCTTATTCCTTTTCATTTTTTTAAGTTCTTTGAGGACTAAAGCATTCGAGACACTTTGTATTTAAAAAACATTGGACGAACGTGAATATCTTGTTTTTCGAAATTTCCAAAAAAATTCACCAGTTTTATTGTGTCGTGCTTTAATTTATTTACAGCTGTAGTAAAGTATTTGCTGAAATTCTCCACTTGACTTGCTAAAGTTCCTTTATCTGGTATATTTCCATCAATTGATGTTACGGTTTTCCGAAAAGGAAGAATCGTCTTAATTACTTGCCAGAATTTCATGGAGTTTAGTGAGTTTTCATCCAAAAGCTTTTTTTGGATTGAACTTTTGGCTGATTTTAATTTGTTACATGTGTTCCGTAACTTTTTCTAGATGTTCCAATCTTCAACCTTGTTGTACTTTCGTGCCTCTTTTAACATTCGGTCTCGATTAGTCATGCATTTTCTAAGATCATTATGAAGCCATGGGCAAGGTTTTCCTCGAACTTTTTTAACACTATGCGGTGCATGTTTATCAAATATCGATTTTACTGTTTGATTAAAATAAGCCACAGCTACGTTAACATCATCAGCATTATATAAAGGCTCCCAAATACTTTCGTTAAATTCTTTATTCATGTTATTTGAGTTATATGTGGAATAATTGCGACACAAATAATTTTTGGTTTAAATTTTGAATTGTTCATCTTTGTTACGCATCCAACCATGTCGTGATCGCTTATACAAGTCGGAAAAACATCACAGTCAGGGAAAAACGTAGGGTAATTTGTGGCAATTAGGTCAATGAGAGTTGCTGAATTATTTGTCATCCTAACAATCTGCTTATATCCATAAAGTCGAAAAACACTCTTGATATCTTTATCATGATCATTATTCATGAAATTGACATTAAAGTCCCCAAGCATAATAATCTCCTTATTTTCATTTGAACATTTTTGTAGCATATCTTTGAAGACACTATTAAAATCAGGCGATAGATATTTCGAGGTCTCTGGTGGACTATAGAATATACCAAGCAAGAAACCTTTTGACTTTGGTATTAAAACTTCAATCCAAATATTCTCAATTTTTTCACTTTCCAAGTCCTGCCTCCTTTTACATCATAAATTATCTTTCAAGTAGACAGCTACTGGTGTAGCTGACCTTTCTTCCTATTTCGTTTGATAGACTTATATCCATCTATTGCAAATAATACATCATTATCGTTATATTCATCCTCGATTATATGAGTTTCTTATAAAGATAAGACATCCATGCGTTTATTCTGATTCAGCAACTCGTGTACATTGAGAAAGCTCGGAAAAAAAACCCTAACATTTTGATGAAATATCTTAAGACCACGTCTAGTAGTAAACATGTGAAGCTTACTTTGATCAGGACCAGGGCATGATTCAATATCACCACACATGAGTAGCATCAGGACAATAAACGTTCTCCTCTACGTTGCAAAGCGACAGCAGCCATTTTTGTCATTTTTTTGTACCCAAATCGCTGATAATATAAAGGTTTCACCCTTCATAGTATTGGGATATAAACGTATTATTAGAGTAATATGATACGGGAACTTTATACCTATAATGATGATACATGATTGGATAATTGATCATGGACTTTGGCACTAACACTTATGTTTATATCAAGTTCTTTGCCTTGTTGACATCTAATCTCATTAGTATTCTTATTCTGTTCTATTGCACTTCACGTTGTATTTGGTTATGTTATATTAAAATGGTTACTTAAACATAATTCTAATAGGTTATGGGCCCAGGACGCAAACTGTCCTACTTAAGATAAGTAATTTAAAATTTAAGCAATGTCTTTTTCGGATAGCGCTCTTAAGTTCGCAATATTGAATGGCACGAACTACCTGTCATGGGCTTTCAATATGCGGTTATATTTGGAAAGCATTGACTTGTTTGAATTCGCCGAAGGTAGTGCGATTGTTCCTAACGACGATGCCGGTGCTGATGTTCGAATGCGATTCAATTCCTCCGCGAAAAAAGCATGGATGTATATTTGCTTGGCTATCGAGCCGGATCAGCAAGTGCACGTGAGAGAAACGATAACTGCAAAGGAAGCATGGGACGTTTTGAAAAGTCAATTTGCCAGGGAATCGTTACTTCAAAAGGTTCGTCTTCGCCAGCAATATTATTCCTCAAAATTTCATGTTGGAGGGAATATGTTGGAGCATATAAACAATGACTTATACCCAATCCTCTAGATATCTAACTGCCGTTGTCACGGTGAGGCAAATTTTATTCGCGGGCGCCATCTTGAAAGGTGGCAAAAAACATAACACGCAATATACGGTAGTATAGTTTACATGTCAAACTGACTCAAATATATGGTTGAAAAACGTTGAAAGCAATCAATCTTAAAAACAAACACAGGTATTACATCCTCAACTCTAAAACAACGTTCAAGAAGCACATTTTAGCTGCAAAGCGCGTAATTTTCGATTTTTCATGGTCAAATCGTGCGCCGCGTATGGATGTACAAATCGCTTTTCGAAAGAGAATAACATAGCTTTTCACAAATTTCCCATTGAAAATAAGGACCTCTGTAAAAGATGGGTCATTGCTATGAAACAAAAAAACTTTACCCCAAACGCAAGCAGCTTTCTTTGCAGCGATCATTTTTTGCACGATGATTATAACACTGAAAATGCCTATAAACGCAAGTTAAAGTTAGACGCGATACCTTCAGTGTTCGCTTTTCCGGAGAGACTACTATCTAAAAAGTCAAAAAGAAAGCCTCCTGCTAGAAGAGAGACAGAAACATCATCACAAAGCGCTAAAAAAGCTAAAATAGATTTGCTCGAGGAAAGTCTAATAGAAGTGACAATACCAACGCAAAATGCTGTAGCAAGTAGTCCCAGGAAAAAAAAAATTGCGAAGAAAAATAAAAACTCTTAAGCAAAAGTTACGAAGTAAGGAAACGAAAATTCAGTCGCTAAGTAGTTTGGTGAAAAAGCTTGAAAAAGAGAGATTTATTTCATCAGACGCAGCTTCAATTCTCGATAACAACTTTTCAGGAGTAGGTGGGGAAATTTTAAAATCAGACCTAAAGAACAAAAATCGTGCTGCTACAGGCCGTCGATACTCAGACGAAGTTAAAAAGTTTGCGTTAACACTTAATTTTTACTCTCCACGAGCGTACAATTTTGTATGTTTACAACATTGCCATGTCCAAGCGCTATCTCAAACCATAGGAAAAAATAGGTAAATTTGATACCCAAAATGAAAATGAAATATTTAACCATATGAAACCAAACTTTTAGGCATGAAGCATTTTATTCTTAACAATAACCTCAAAAAATATGGCTTTCAATGCATTACTAGGATATGAGTAATAACTTAGACAACATAGCCATATTTTCATGACCTCGGTACTACAGTAAAACTTATAACTCTAAACATAATTCAATTGGTTGCTTGAAATTAAGAAGTTATAATCATAAATACATTAGCTGTGCAGGGAACTAGAATTGTCTTCATAAAACAAAGCATGCAAAAGTTATTTACATGCAAATATATAGTGCATTTTTTCGCAGCACTTTGCAAAAGCAAATCATCTATAACTTAGCAATGAAAAGGCAAATCTAATTTATTCTAGTTCCCTGCACAATACATATAATTTTAAACATTTATTGAAAATTTCAGCTTAATAGCTTGAATTGTTCAAGAAATATTACAAAACAAATTCGAAATAATAGAAAAATATGAAAAGAGAAACAGCTTACAAAGTTTGCAATAGATTGCATGATAAAGTTTAAAGGCTTAAAATGCTCCAGCTTCATACATTGTTCCTTCCTTTGTTATAAGGTCTTCAATATAACCTTTTTCCTTTGTCTTATCTGTTTTCTTTTTTCTGACGGTCAGAGGCTTTTGGGCAGAGCGATGGAGATGAGTAAAATCTTGTTTCCGACAAGCTTTCTTAGTATGTGTCCCAGCTTTTATTCCTAGACCTTCCAAGACATTTACAATGGTTTTTGCACCATCATTGAAACAGCCAACAGCTAGGTATGTTGCTAACTCAACTGTTGGGAGACTTGAATGAGTTTGCTTAGAGGCACGTTGCCAGATTAGTGCATTGAAAGCCTCGTTTTGGTTCTGTGTACCACCATGCAAACAAGAAGACAAGAGCTGTTTTTTGCTCAGGTCCTTGAAAACTGGGTAGATACAATCTGCAACAGCTTCTGGAAGGGGATGCTCATGACAATATGCAGATGTGCCTTTTGCCAAATCTCTTTGAAAACCGCACCAGCTTGTTTCACCTGTAGGACAAAGCTCATGGTGGGGGTTTTCATCAGATGACCTAGTATGGTGCCATATTGCCATTACTGCATTTTCCATTTTGTTTATATCTTTACAATTGTCCCTTATTGCTTTTCCATAATAAACCTGCAGATTATCTATAACTTTGTCAGTCAGTCTTCCTTTTCCTCCAATATTTTTGCCATCCACTAACCGTGTCTTTCCCATTTTCTTCTTCAAAGAGCGAAGTCTCGACCCCATTCGTTTCTGAACATGCCCAACACATTCAAGTTTTGTGACTTCCTTTTCACCATAAACACGAGATTGAACAAGCTCACTGTAGGCTTTACTGTCTCCATCTCCAAGAAAATCCACATAGCGCAATGAATGTTTCTCTATTGACCGATTGAAAATAGCCATGCATCCTGCAGCATCCATAGCATTTGAAGATCCTTCAAAATTTTGATGGCATTTGGGTTGATGATGTTCCCACCAAGCTTCATACTCTTCAGTATCTTCTTTTCCACTCCAGCTTGTGCACTCTCTTAGCAGCTGCATGGATAGCTTGAATATGATCAGTATAGGAATTGGCATTCATAGGTGGCAACATATTCATAATGTTACAAAACTTCACCAATCCCTGATGGCCAATTCCAATATTTCTCAGACAATACAGCCCTCCTGTTTACTTGAAAGCTTTTGAAGTGTTATCAACGCTTTGAAGTGTAAAATTTTGGAAATAAGAGCACTTTGGCAGCGAACATTGAATAGACATTGAGGATGAAAGTCCCATTTTGGCCACAGCATTTTCTTTCAAAACGACATGTCCTGACTTACACTGGGGACACAAGAGATTTTTTATAATTGCCATCAAAATTGATATATCCATTAAGCGAAATCCACTGTCACATTCACTATCATCATCGCTAGATGTATCTGTTGACAACTTTCTCTTAGAGGCAGGTATTGAAGAAAATTCGGAGGAAGACACGTGTTGTGATTGGTTTTGAGAGGAAGTGCTAGGTTCATTGCTCGTCGTTATTTCTTCATTATTGTCTTCCCTTATCTCATCAACATCACAACTTTCAACTTTTAGAAAGCGATTTCCATGAAATCTACGTTTTCTCCTAGCATTTGTAACAAATTTTCTTTTAGGAGGCATGATCGCACGAACATAAACAAGTAAACGTCTTTCTTTTGCTTTCTATGCACGTGAATTTCGAAATTAGCTTAGCAGCCAGGCATATTATTCAAGCTAGATACCAGTTCTCTGTACTAACACACATAATTTGAACTTTTCAACCACTACACTAAATTTGAGGGGTGTTTTTTAAAAAAATTTAAACTGGTTTCCATGGTAACCAATTAGAATATTCTGGTATGTGTTATAAAATATTTAAAAAATGCCTTTAAAAATCATTTTTGGGTTAAAAACCGTATTGTATATGAAAGATCAAGGCTTTTACTATAGGATAATACTGTTTTCAAAAAAACTCATTTTTCAACATTTTTTCCCTATTGATCCACCTTAAGCAAAAGTTACGAAGGAAACGAAAATTCAGTCGCTAAGTAGTTTGGTGAAAAAGCTTGAAAAAGAGAAATTTATTTCATCAGACGCAGCTTCAATTCTCGATAACAACTTTTCAGGAGTAGGTGGGGAAATTTTAAAATCAGACCTAAAGAACAAAAATCGTGCTGCTACAGGCCGTCGATACTCAGACGAAGTTAAAAAGTTTGCGTTAACACTTAATTTTTACTCTCCACGAGCGTACAATTTTGTATGTTTACAACATTGCCATGTCCAAGCGCTATCTCAAACTGAACTTCCAGTGTAAACTGTGAACCAGGGTTTTTTGATGATGTGTTTTCATTTCTACAAGAAAAAGCAAGAAATAATCCGGAGTATAGGGACTGCGCTCTTCTTTTTGATGGTATGTACATTAAGTCAGGGGTTGTTTACAACAGAAGTAAAGGAAATTATGAAGGGTTTGTCAATTTTGGTGCAGATGTTGTTGTTTTGATCCAGACAAGGTTGCTACTGAAGCTCTTGTGTTTCGTTAGTTGGTTTACGAGGACATTGGAAATGTCCTATTGGTTACGTGTTATGTAGTGGAATAAATTCTTCAAATTTGAGTGCACTGGTTAGCAAATCGTTTCGCTTAGCATCTTCACATGGGCTAAATATTTACAGTGTGACTTGTGACGGTACTGCCACCAATTTTTATTGCATGAAAGCCCTTGGTTGTGAGTTTGGATCAAATTTGTCTGACATTAAATACTCTTTTAACTATGAGTCATATGAACTCACTGTTTTTTGTTCCTGATGCTTGTCACATGCTAAAACTGGCAAGAAATGCATTGTCCGATCTTAAAGTACTGGTTTCGAGTGAAGGTAGTTTGATCAAATGGGAGCATATTGAAGTGCTGCATAAAGTTTAAGAGGGAGAAGGGTTAAAATTTGCAAATAAGCTGTCCACGGGCACATGGAGTTCCATAGGCACAAGATGAATGTGAAAGTTGCAGCACAAACATTCAGCAGTTCAGTTGCAGATGCCATTGAATATCTGATGCTTTCTGGTCATCCAGCTCTTAGTGATGCGAGTGCAACAATAGAATTCATAAGGATTGTTGATCAACTTTTTGACATATAAACATACGAAGTCAATTTGGCAAATGTTTTAAAAAACCACTTTTTTTATGTGATCACAACACATGGAAAAAACTTTGGAAAGGTCAATTGAATACCTTTTTTCCCTTAAAACAAACTCTGGTGTTCCTCTGATCAAACATAGAAGAAAAACATTTGTTCTCGGTTTTGTAGTAGCAGCATCGAGCATTAAAGAGTTGGCTCATATTCTCCTTACAAGGGAACATGATCCTTTCAAATACATTCTGACATACAAAATGTCCCAAGACCACCTTGAGCTGCTGTTTGCATGCATACGTGGTAAGAATGGCTTCAACAATAATCCAGATATTGTACAATTTAAGTCCAGTCTACGAAAAATTCTTTTAAGAAATTCCATCATTGGTTCCAAGCATGCAAACTGTTTGACTTTCGAAAATTAATCTGCTGGTTCTATTTTTCATTAAAATGGAATAAAAGAAATGCTCCAGCCTTTGAAGTAGAAGAGATGACACCAAAGGACACTCAATATGTCAGTAGTTTAGTTTCTGGATTAGAATCATGTTCACTGTCATCATACAAAGAAGCAATACTTGGATATATTGCTGGGTTTGTTGTAAAAAGATAATCAATAGAATCACCTGTACTGAATGTGCAAGAGCTCTTTTGCTTAAGTCAAAAAAATCATCATCAGTTCATGATCATAATTATTCACACTTCCAAACTACTACATCTTTATCTTTAATCAGTTTGAAGAATCGTGGTGGTCTTGTTCTCCCTTCTAATGGTGTGACCAAAATAATATTTGCATCTGAAAGAGCTTTTCAAGTCCTCATTCATGAAACTCGTTCAAAAAAACAAAAAATTTCCAGCAGGAGAAACTTGAAGACTATAATGGTTCATCTTATTAACCAAGAGCTTGCAGAAAAGAGCTTGTTTCCTGAACTCAACGAGCATGATGTTGATCACGAAGCAATAACTGAAGATCTACATTCATCACAGCTTATCAAACAGATCATTGAAAAATACATCAATTTACGACTTTCGACCTATGGTAAGCAATATAATAAAGATTTCCACAAAAACAAAATTGGTGTTCACCAGCAATCTACGAAGCTTGTTTTATTTCAAGGAATCTAGTCGACTTCGATGAACATCCACACCACAACCAAGGAAATGTAAATCCTAAAAAAATAATTAATAGTGGTTTATTGTAAATAGTGAAAATAAGCGCATTTTACAACGATGCAGTCATATTGTTAATAGATCTAAAATTATGTTGTTCAGGTAAAATAATTCATATAAACCGTAAACGTTGTGTTCAAATCAAAGTTCTGGATAGCTGTTATGCGATTTTGTCGCTTTTTTCTGTAAATATGTTTTGGTTTACGAAAAAGCATAGAGAACAGCAAAGAAGATGTAAATTAATAAATACTCACGATTAGTAGTTCATACTTATGTAACTCTCAGCCTTTAGTTTATGGTCGCAAAATACACGTTAAGACCGCTCTATCTCAAGTATTTAAAAATTTTACACATTTTAACAATATTAAAGAAATTACTCACCATTTTTAATGCAACTTCAGTAGAACAGCATCATAAAAACGCTCTTAAAGTCGATTTCTCTCATCACAGACTTAATGTTTTTATATGCCGCCAATGTGCTTTTGCCACCTTTGCAAATGGCGGCCGCGTAGAAATTTGCCTCACTCATTACTATACAAATTTGACTGAGTCAGGTATCTAGTAGAATGGGTACTAGATCATTGCATATAAACAACTTAAAATCATTACACGATCAATTAAGGGAAATGGGCGCAAGTATCGATGATAAGGAACTGGCAATGACCCTGTTGGCTAGTTTGCCAGATAAATATAAGCCATTAATAACGGCACTGGATGCTGTTGGTGAGAATGACCTTTCTTATGACAAAGTGAAAAACATGATACTAAATGATGAACATGGAGCCAAAGATTCCGAGACCAGAAAAGAGGATGCATTTTCCGTGCAACGTAACAAGTTTCGAGGTGGGAAACAACGTGGTGGTCAGAATGAGAACATTTTTAATCGAAAGAAAGGCTTTCGTGGCAAGTGTTTCATTCACAAGAAGACGAAGCAGTTTCCAAACAGTGGCAACTCTTCAATCAATAAGGGAAACAAGTCTGCTCAGCTTGCAGAAAACGAAGAAAATAGTGAGATCGATAATGGTGATGCGTTGATTTCAAATTCATCAAACATTACAAGGAATTCAGATTGGATTATCGACTCCGGAGCAACCCAGCACATGACTTACGATTTGGAAGGCTTATGCAATTACGTAGAATTTAAGCAACTGTGTGTTGTAAACCTTGGAGATAACTGCTCTATTTTAGTGTATGGCAAATGAACTTATAGGGTAAAAGCTATTCTTGGCGACGGAAACAAAAACATCTCTTTGCAGGATGTATTGTATTTACCTGACATAAATAAAAATTTATTATCTGTTCGAGCGATGGTAAGACTTGGAGCCATTGTTACTTTCGAAAACGATGTTTGTAACATTCGACGAAATTCAAAACTGTTAGCAGTTGGAGAACTGCAAGGAAAACTGTACATTTTGAAAATTGTGAAGCTTGTGTGTTGGGAAAACAGCATCGTTGCTCTTTTCCAAAAGGCGTTTCAGAACGAGCTAAGGAACAGTTCGAAATTATACATAGTGATGTATGTGGACCAATACAGGAGAATTCCACTGCACGTTTTATTTGGTTATGTTATATTAAAATTGTTACTTAAACATAATTCTAATACATAGCTATATCCCTTTTGAAAAACACTTATTCCATCTGGTGTCATAAGGTTCATTTTATAGACACTAACACTCAGATATATGAATACTATAACGAAAGGCACGCAAAGAACGTCTGTGCGTCCCGCCATGTTATTGTCAAAAAAATCTGTACAGCCTATGACCAAAACCATTTTTCATTGGTTAGATTATTC